ATGGCCTGCAGATCCTTTTTCGCGTCCCTTTTTGTGCAACTTTCTACGAAGGCAGGCCTCTCGCGCCCGTGGCTTTACGATGTTCGCTTCATTGGAATGCAATCGGCTCTGGGCAGGATCGGTGCTTGGGACTGGGAATGGGACTGGGTGCAGCAGCAGCAGCAACGGGACATCCTTTGCGGGGATCGTTCGCGCTGTGCAATGCACCGCTGTGCCGTGTCGCGTGCATTTGAGTTGCGGAAAATGCGTGCCCGCTGGGCGGCCTGGGCGCGCGCGCGCGACCAGCGCAGTGGGTCCAGTCCGGCAGGGTAACGGAGCCAGCCATGGGCGTGGCCGCGACACCCTAAATGCCTCACACACATACACACACACACACACACACAGATTTCCCGTCACTGACTTCTGTTTTCTTTTTTTTCGGGAAAAACTCGAGCTCTAAAGTGCATTACAGGGGAATGGGAATGGGGATGGGGATGAGGATGGGGAGGAGACACACACATGAATCGGAGTAATTGAGGTTGCATTTACGTACATAAGTGTAAGCGAAAGAAACACTTGAAAGTACTCGGGGAATGGCGACAGGGTTCGCTCAGAATTAACTACATTTAGTGGTTTGATTTATTGAAGGACAGCGCCATTAAATAAAGTCACGAACTGAAAAATGTTTTAAAATATCAACGAAATAGTTGCATAATTGTTTTCTCTATGCCCAATACTTGTAGCCCTATCGGAGCGCAAATAAATAAATTAAAGCATACAAACAGATGATTATTTTGCATTTTCTGTGTAGATGTCGCAGATCAAATGGCTGCGATGCTAAGGCATTCGGAGTTACTTATAATTATAGGTGCATTTATTTATTTATTAATATGTGTGCAAGTAGCTGAGGATTCGTACTAAAAAGATGAAGCTTTGGCTGCTCTGGCATCTAGCTAAAATAATTATATTTATAGCTCTAAGCTACACATTTATGGAATATTTTATACATAAACTAAGCAGAAATTACCTCAAACCATGGCCATAATTTCCACGAGCATATTTCTCTTTATATATGAAAATTATTTACTACCTTACCTCTCCTCCCTCTGCTGTGCATGAGTAGTTCCTTCGAGTAGTTCCTTCGAGTAGTTCCTCTCTTGTTCCGTGTGGGCGCTGCGATAAATTTCAAGTCTCCCCCTATCATACTTATCCACAGATGCAGCCACAATAAATGTTCGCCCATCCATCCCCCTGCCCCCTCCCGCCACCCTATGCTGACACTCTTCAGATTGCTTGTTCCTCCTGCTTGCCACGCGGCCATGCGGCTGACAAGGGTCCCTCCTTCGACCTGTCTTCAGCACCCGGCCCTCTTCATGCTGCTGCATTGCATCCTACCCCTACCCCTACCCGCCCGCTCTGCACCCTTTCCTTATTGCTGCCCCATTCTGTTGCGCTTTGTCAGCCATTCCAAACAAAACAAAAACAATATACAAAAAAATCTCTCGCCCATCCCCAACATTTTTCTTTCTTTTTTTATGCTTTATGGCGCACAAAATTCTGTTCGTTTCTTTGCTGCTTTTTGCGCTTCCTTGTAGCGGTGCTGCTGCTGCTGCTGCTGCTGTTTCTGCAACATGCTGCAATTGTGCCGCCACACCATCCGCATGCCCCTTCCCACTGAGTCCAGTGCAGGGCCCTGCCCTGTGTCCAGTGCCCAAGCCATGCATTTTTTTTGCGGGTATCCGATATAGTTGGGTCAGCGCTTGTGGCCAGAACGGTTCTGGTTGCCAACTCCACTGAATGTGGGCAGATTGTATGTGGGCAGGGCGGGGACAGGGACAGGGACAGGGACAGGGGCAGGGACAGGGGCTTGGGGCTGCTGCTGGGTGTTATTGAGTGCAAATAGCAATTTCGCAACAATTCTTCCGAATCTACCAAAAACCACTCTCTCTCTCTCCTCTCCCTCTCCCCCTTCATTGAGTCTCTCTCTCTCTCTCGCTGCCTTTCTCTCTGTGGGCTGTTCTTTTTTGCTTTCAGCACTTTAGGCCGAGATTCCTACCACCCCCTCCGCACCCTAGCTCCGTACCGCTTCTGCCACCCACCCATCTTTCGCCTCCATATGCAACATTCTTTGCATCTATTGACTTGACTCCTCTACCCGCCCACCCACAAAAAAAACCCATTTCATGGGCTGCTCGCTGCTCGCAGATTGCCGTGTGGGTGGATGGGTGGTGGCGGGTGGGGGGGGACTTATCCGGGGCTTTCGCACAATGAACTGTCAAAAATTTTGGCCATTTTTGTTGTTGTTGTTGTTGTTTGGGTGCAAAAAACATTCCTGCAGTCGATTTTATTGGATTACGGTTTAGATTGCATTGGCGAAAAAGTGCAGCAGCGGGGCAGCAGCAGGCAATCCATGTGTGGTGTGTGTGTGTGTGTGTGTGTGTGTGGCTCTTGTTGTTTAGAAAACATGCAAAAAACTTAACGCCACTTGGCCGCTTGTCCTTGTCGTACTTTTTGCTTTTTGCCTTCTTTTCGTTTTTTTTTTTTTTTTTTTTTTGGGTGTCCTTTTTAGGTCGCTCACTCTGCCACAATTTGTTGCTGCCACTGCTGCTGCTGCTGCTGCTGCTGCTGTTGTTGTTGTGCAGCAACAGCAACAATAGGCCTGGGCGTTAACGAATTGAAATTTGTTTGTTTGCTGTTTGCTGTTCGATTCCGTGCGCTTCCGTTTTTAAAATGTACGTGCAACAGTGCAACAATCTGCGAGTAAATGTGTGTGTGTGTGTGTGTGTGTATGACTGTGCTTGGGGAATACATTGCAAAACAGTCTGAGAGAGTGCCCCCCAGAATGTGTGATATGCCCCAAAGAATACGAACAGCAGCAGCAGCAGCAGCAGGAGCAGCCACTGCCACTGCCTGCCACATATAAAGAAACATTTTGCAGCCAATCAATTTTCAGCAAAAACTTGCACATATTTTATGGCTAATCATTTTTGATTATTTTATTTTAATTGTGCGTTGGAAAAATATTTTAAAAAATATGCAAAAGAAAAAACAAAAATAAATGCCAAATAAATGGTTGAGTTTTTGGGGGGGTGAGTCTTAAGGTAAATTATGCTGCAGGCATTCTATATATTTAAATGCATAAATAAACTAGCTAAAACTGTAGTTTATTTGCCAGTTTATTTGCCGCAGTTTTGTCGCAGTGTATGCATTGCTTTAATTCATTGTTGTTTTGCGTTGAGCATGTGGCAGTCTGTGGATGGCTGCGCCTTTCAACTGCTTTTGTTGCTGCTGCTGTTGCTGCTGCTGTCAGGATGTTGCTGGCTGTTCTGACATCTACAGTATCCGTTTTTCCCCTGGCCTCATTCATTTCTAATGCATTCCAAAACGAAAGAGAGAGAGAGAACGGGAGAGAGCCGGAGCCGGAGCCGGAAGTGAGTTAGGATCAATGCGAAACTTGTCATTCGAATCGACACCCCAAGCCGATGTTTTGCTTATTAAATTTTGTTTTTGGGGGTGCAATCAGCAGCAGCAGCAGCAGCAGAGCTTTTTTTGCTGCGTTTTTTGACACCTTCCACCACCACCACCACCACCACCACCACCCCACCCATTCCCTTTAATCTCGTGTGTGTCAAATGTTTTTTGTTTTTTTTTTTTTTTTTTCCTTTTCTTTTGGCTTCTTGTCAAAGGATCTCTGCATTCTGCATTCTGGCCCAAAGACCGGGAGCTAAGCTAATTAAATTTGATAACGCCACCCCCCATCCCCCGTCAGTGGCATTAGAGCAGCGTCGAGTCAAAGGTCAAAGCCAAATGAGATGCAGTGCAGGGCAGAACATTTTAATTAAAAATTTCCACTAAGCAGCTGGGGATCAAAAGCTACTGCGGCGCTATCACTGATGCGGCGAGTGGCAACCACAAGCTGCAGGACACAGGGACACAGGGATACAGGGAGACGCCACTCCAACACCCCCCCATGCACCCAATGCCGAACCATTCATTGGCCAGCATATGCGTCAGATTAGAGTCATGTGTGTGGCCATGTGGCATGGGTTCGAATGTGATGTGTGCACAGCGATAATCCAGCAAATTTTCAACTAATTAAATTGTCAAATATTTTTGTTTTTGCCAGGGGCGGGAGAGAGCACACACACACGCACACACAGCTATCGACTAATTTGGCAGGGCTGTAAGCGTGAGCCTGGCATGAGCCTGCTGCAGGTAGTTCCACGGCGGCTCAATCCTTTCACTCGCTTTTGTGCTGTGCTGCGGTCAGCGGAGTTCAAGGCGGTGCGCGAGCAAAAAGGAGTAACCGGGGCAAAGCAGCAAAGGAGTGAGTGGCCATAAAGACGCGTCCCTATAGCCTGGCAAAAATTTTCTGTTTTATTTATGTGGCCAGAGCAAACGGCGATTGCGACTAGCTCTGGGTTTGGACTCGGATTCGGTTTTTGGGCTGCAGTTTATGGTGGGTGCAACCCTTTTCCCTTTTGCTTTTGGCTGCTTTCATTGGAAATTGTTGGGTGCTGCTGCTGGTTGCCCCTGTCTGCCCTGACTGCCTGCCTGCCTGCCTGCCTGCCTGCCTGTCTGTCCGTTGCTGTGTCGTGTCGGTCGTCCTGCTGCTGGCTGCGCCCCTTCTGTTGCAGCTTGTCAGTCATTCGAACAAAACTAATTTGCATGTCATTTCTTTAGCACTCTTGAAATTCGCGCACGAAATGCACTCGATCGAGAGGGCCCCAGCAAGCCATGGGCAGACTTTTCCCGCTCAAATAAATATTATTTACAGGGGCACAGCGCCGCCCCTTGGGGGGGGCCGGGCCAGTTATTTGTATGCTGAATCGCTTTGCATTTATTTCCTAAGATCTGTGCGTAGAGCACGTGCAATTTTGATTTTGATATCGAATCGATGCAAACAATAATTGTATTCAACACGTATGCCACACAAGTCAACAAATACTGGCGGGCAGGGCGGGCAGGGCGGCCCGGGGAGCAGGCAAACACAACTCCGCCCCCCCCACTCTGGACCTGCTGGCTAGACGGCATCGCCGCCGCCATCGCCGTGGCCCTCGCCATCGTCATCGCCATCGCCGTCGCCATGCTGCTGCTCCTCTGGCTGCAGGATCTTCTTGTAGCTGTCCACCTGCTGCACAATGGTCGCCAAACACTCCTGTATCTGTGCGAATAAATCATGCAGACGATCCAGGGGCACTGCTGGATCCGCAACTGGCGCTGGCACTGGCGCTGGCGCTGCTCCTGCTCCTGCCATTCCCGTGGCCTGCTGCTGGGCGTCCTCCGACTCTACAATTTCGTTGGCTTCGGCTTCGGGCTCCTCTGCGTTGTCGTCGTCCGCTTCGAGTTCCCCGGCTGCCCAGAAATCCTCGTCAGCCTCAACAAAGCTCGCATCGAAATCGTCTTCCATTTCGGGCTGATATTCGTTCACGTTGAATCCATGGGGATGGGGATGGGGCTGTGCGTTTTCGTCGTCAGCGGCCACAGCTGGTGCCTGGTGTGCTCCATCAACGATGGGCTCCTGCTGCTCTTGCGCTTCGGCCGCCATTGGGGCCGGCTCGCCGTTGGCTTCCTGTTGCTGTGCAACGACGTCGGCCGCCTGCAGGATCTGGGCACGGGCGTGATCAAAGATCAGGCGACGGCGATTGATGTCGCGCAGAAAGTGTCCCACAATGTTGAAAATGTGACGATGCCGGGGTCGACGCCTGGCTGGGAGCACAATGTCCCCGCGACCCTGACCAGCCAGGTCCATGGCTGCGTGGGCGGCTGGCTGCTGCATGGCGGGACCATCGCCCGCACCGACCTGCTCGCGCAGCTGTGCCTGTGCGTCCTCGCCCTGTGCGACAATTTGGCCAACTCCAGGGCCATCGCCACCAGCAGCAGCAGCAGCAGCAACGGCAGCGGCAACGGCAACGGCAGCGGGAACAGCAGCAGCAGCTCCGCCGCCATTTGTGCCATCTCCCGGCTGATATCGTCTGTGGGCGACACGGCCCTGTCCTCGGCCACCAATACCGCGGCCCGCGACGCCCCTGAGGCCGCGATGAGCGATATTCAAATTCATGGCAGCACGATGGCGCAGCCAGAAGCCGCCAGCATGCGGAGCTAGTTCATTGTTGTCCAACTGATAGCCGCCACCATGGCCCTGTCCGTGGAACTGTCCGTGGACCTGTCCGTGGACCAGTACCTGTCCCTGTCCCTGGCCCAGGGCTGGGGCGGGCACCAGCTCGGCATCGCCGCCTCCAATGCGGGCAATCATCTGATGGCGCGGCACAGCCGGCACCACGTTGTCCAGATTGAGGCCAGGCCAGTCGCCGCCGCCCTGGTTGCGCAGCTGCTGGGCAAAGTGGTTTGGGGCCGGAATGCCAATCGGCTGGCGTATGTGCAGCTGCGATGGCAGGGTGAATCGGGTGGCAGTCCGCGGCCGGTTCATCATTACGTTCAGACACACATCGAAGTCCGGTGAGCCGCGTCGGCCCATCTGTCGGCGCCGTGCGGGATCCAGACTAGCAATAAACTCAGCGACAATTAAGTCTTTGTGCTGCTGCTGGGATCCCATGGCTAAAAGAGAGCTGCAAAAATACACGAAAATAAATATAAATAGAAAAGGAATAATCAAATAATTATGAATATTATTTAAATGATTCTGTGCGGCCGTGGCTGTGGCTGTGGCTCTGCGCTTACCCGTAATATTTAATTACAATTTCCAAGCACAATTTAATTGAAACACAAAGCGAATGGTATAAACGAGCGCCTTAGACTTGGCTTTTAGCTACCGAACGTTTCAATTTTAATCATATAAAACAAAACAAAACAAAAATACAACAAAAAATAGACATTGAAAATACAAAACTCGCCGGAAATTTATTTATTTAGAAAGGATGATTCTCGTTTGGCCGAATATCGAATTTTGTGAGTGTTACGTTTTCAGTCTCGAAAAACTATTTATGACAATAATTTGATGGCCAGCATTGTGATATTTAATATGGAATATATACATATATAGAAAGGAACATCTTTGTGTTCTTTTTGTTGTTGTTGTTGTATTTTTCTCAATCCATTTATAAAGTGGCATATCACCTGGTGCTTGGGTTTTTGGGGGTTGCCATGGCTAGGACACGGCTGGGCAAAAGGCATTAATGTGCACGGACAGGACATGTTCATAAAAAGCAGCAGCAGGACAGCAGGACAGCAGGGGACATTCGAGACTGGCCGAGAGAGTGTGTGTGTGTGTGTGTGTGCGAGTGGCCAACACAAATCATATTACAAAACTTTACACGCTTAAAAGCGCATGTAATTGGCTTTTGAAATGGACGCGAACCCACCTACCAGCTACCACCTACCACCCCCCACCTACCACCCACCAAGCAAAAGGTTAACACGTTCTGGGCCCTGGTCTCTGTCGCCTTGCCCCCTTACCCCTTCGGACAATGGCCAGAGCTCTGATCCCGGGATGCTAATAACAATAAGTGTCGATGTCCCTTGCCCCCCCCCCCTGCCACTGCCTGGTCGTCTGTTCTCCCGGTGTCTGTGAAATATGAGCAGGCAGCCTGGACACAGAAGCACAAGGACAACCCTCAATTTTTTACACATTTTCGTACCAGTTCATTTTTTTGTCTTTTGTGAGTGTCGCCTTTTTTTTGTTTTGTTTTGTGCACCTCACTTGGGGCTACTTTCTGTTAAAAAGCTATTCAGGGCCAAGTAAAACATTCGGAAAATGTGTAAAGGAAAACCAACAGCAGCGGCGCAACGGAGAAAGTGAAAGGAGAAAAGTTTCACGGGGCGGGCAAGTGGGTAGTAGGATTTCGCATTGAAAACAGATTGGGCCAGGGGCTAATATTGTCAGATAATACAAATGAAAACGTATCAAAATTCTGTTACTATAAATCTATAATAGAAAATAAATAAATAATAAATAAATAATAATAAAAATCTACAACAGAAAAACGTATCCAAAGAAGGGAACAAAAATCAAAGCCAAAGCGCAATCTCAGCAAAATAAATAATTTTACATTAATTCCACAGCAAGTAAAACCCCCATTCCCCCTGCTGCATGTCAAACTATATCTTCCACAATTACCATAAATATTTAGCTGCTGCAATGCAATTTGTTCGCTCCATTGCAAGCAATTTTTGTGCCATAATTTCTCAGAGTTTCCATCACAAAGCCGTGCTCAAATCAGTCGTCATTCAAAGTAGGTTTTTGGTTTAATTTTGTTTTGTTGGGCTGCCCAACAACAATTTACCATTTCCTACCCGCTATTATTGTTGGTATTATTGTTGTTGCTGTTGTTATCGTTTGGTGTTGGCGTTGTTATATCCTTGAAACTTTTTTGTTCGCTGCTAGGCATGTGCTCGTTGTAGCCCGTGACGTATATTTAACATGCCGCACCGCAACTCCGAACCACCGACACCCATCATAGCCCGCACACAAGGCTCACCCAGCTGCTAGCCCCAGCTCCAGCCCCAGCTCTATCCGGCGCTGCGCTGCCCAAAAAAGCATGCTACGATTTTTGAGTGTTGGCATGTTTGCTGTCAGAAAATTGTCAGAATTGTATGCAACATTGCCAGTGGACGGGTGGGGGGGGACACACTAAAAATGTTGCCGCCGCTACTGTTGGGCGTTGGTTGGGGTGTTTTGCTGGCCCTCTGGCTGTGTATCGTGTGGTTGTTGCCTGGCTATTGCTGTTGCTGTTGCTGTTGCTATCGCATGCCAGTGAGCTAGATTTTTCATTAGGCTTGATGATTGGAAAAATTGACAGGCGCTTTTCAAAAGCGATAACTTTATAGCGATGTATGTATGCATCGCTCTCTCTCTCTCTCTGTGTGTGTGCTCCACAAATGCAACGCCAAATGTTTGGCCAGACAATTGACGAAAATCTATAACAGCAACAATGTAAATCGTGTGTGTTGCGAGTGTGTGTGTGTGTGTGCTGCCAGTGTATGTGTGTGTTTGTGTGTGTGTATCTGCTAATGCACATGGCAATAAACTTTAACATGCCAATGCATTTGGAGAGGCGATTCCAAAATGGAAGTAAATCAAAGACGATGATGATGATGATGGTTCTGATGGCTCACAGAAGGGGTGGTTGGTGGGGGCGGCTCACTGGGAGCAATAAACATTAATGGGCCAGCCAGCAAAAACGATAAAGTTGACTTAGATGCTTGGACTATCGATTGGCATCAGCTTTTGTGCCATCACCAGTGAAAATATCGATATGCCGGACATTGAAAAAAGTGTACCAACAATCATTAAAGCTTTCATGCCATGTCGTCTCAGATTACAGACTTAAGATTCAGCGACAAGCACAAAAATTTCGGATTAGAAATTCCCTTTTGAAAAAATATATTTCTACCCCATTTAATGCTTTCCTTTTGGGGATTACTTTCCCTTAGCTGATCCACACTCCTGTGTGCCACATGTGCCACGCACATTGCGTATACGCCAAGTGGCGGGGGAGGAGGTACTGTGGTTGTCTCATTAAAAGCGCCAGCGCTCTTGCGGCTAATTAAAAAATGAGCAGAAAGAGCACACAGATAAAAAACGAGCTTGAAGCTGCTTTTATGTTTATGTTTAATACTCGGCATATGACACTTTGTGGTTGCCAGACAGACTGGCAGTTCCTGTCATCATCATTTGATTGCCGAGGGCGCAGAGGGGACGCTGAGCAGGCTGCCAGTCAGTGTGGGAGAGCAGCACTGAGTGCTGACAGCATCTTAAAATTGTGCATAATTATTTTGGGCTTACGACAAATATCATCACTGAGGCAGGGAAAGCTTAAGCTTAAGGATCCACCGGTGGAAAAGTAATTCCAGCAGGTATCTCGCCAGAATGGCTGCTAAGCCTTTGGGAACATTTTATTTATTACTTAAAAATGTAGCAACAACCAAGAAATATTCCCCGAGCTACTTCCAATTTCAAATGATCTTTTTTTGGTATCCCAAAGTGCCCAAGTTCACTGGCCTTGACACACATTTTCGCGTGAAAATGGCTGGCCGAGCCCACACTCGTGGCTGCACAGATACAATAATGTCTAGGACCCTTTTTGGCCGCTTGCACTTACTGTTGTCGTTCTGTTGGCTGTTTCGTTACCCCAGGATCGAGTCGAGTCGCGAGAGGCCATTGTTTGATATCTAATACGCGCCGGGGGGTCGTGCACGAAAATAAATAAAAATAAAATACAACCAGAAACCAGAAACCAGAAGGAGCGACAAGCACATTCATCATAAGTGCGCTTTGCCAGTCCTGCATATGCCCGATAATGTTATGTGCCTTCCCTCCCCTCCCCATCCCACTCCAGTGCATCCCCGTTTGAAGTGGTTGGTTGTTTGGTTGTTTGGTACGATTTGGATTTGTGATTTCAATGCCATGCCACTCAACTGGCCGCTGGGAAAATCGCCTTAAAAAGTCCATTTCGAAAGCGAAAGGCAGTCACAACCCTAACCCCTGCCAACCATACATACATATGTATATACATATGTATCTATATATGTATCTGTAGCTGTATCTGTATCTGTATCTATATGGAGATACACTTATGTGCTGTTGGGTGGGCGCCAGCGGAGAAGGGAAGGTTGAGCCATTGGCCATGCCCGTGGGGTGGCTTTTTCATTATCATTTGCCGCTGCACATAAATTATTTATTGTTAGCGATTTTCCCAAAAAGATAACACACTCTCAATGCTGTCTACTGGCAGGAGTGTGTCCTCCTTACAGCGCTGCTGGTGGGGGGGTGAGGTGCGTGCAGGGAGGGAAGCGTCGAGTGGAGGGATCGACACTGAAACATTTCTCTCCTGCTCTCCTGCTCTCTCTCTCTCTGTGTGTGTTGCCCTTGTGTAATCCTCCTGCTCATCTTCATTATGCTACTCTCTCTCTCCCCCCTCGCTGCCACTCTACACACGCTCTACCTAAATCGCAAGCCGGATGTAAAAAAATATTTATAAGTTTGTTGCCTTTGCCGCATTATGTGAGGCATACAACATAATCAACATAATATTAATATGAATTCTGTTCACTCGAGTAAATAGCCCAGAGGCAGGGCTATGCAGCGGCGTGGGACGAAGGGGAGCAACGGGGAGGAACATATTTAAAATATGAGCTGAAGCAGAAGCGAATTTGATCGAAATATGCTGCACAGTAAAACCGCACACAAAAAAATCAGTGGCGCTTGCAGCTTAGCTCAAAAAACGCACCAACCACAGGGAACTAGTGTAAAGTATTTATAAATAAAAATAAACATAAATGCAGGGTATACAAAAATATTGTACGACTCTCCCAAGAGCATGCTCAATGCTGTAGATTTTTTTAATAACTATTACAGAAATTAAAGTACATTTTAATTCGCGTTCTTGCATATTTATACCACTAATAGAACACCTCAAATCCCAGCCAGAATCCAGTCAACATTCCCCTACATCCATTTAAAATCTTAAATTGGAATTTCTTACCACCATTTGCATTTAATTTATTGCCCATCAACAAAACCCTAGAATATTCAGCTTGAAAACATTTCAACAGTCACTCAAAGCCTGTGCCGAAGCCACCCTCCGACCTCACCTCCAACTGGATCTAACCATATATTCGATAAGAAATTTCATTAAATTTTCCGCTGGCATTACTTCAATAATTTTCATCATCTCCATTCGGTCTCAATTATTAACCATCACTCCATCACAAGCCCCCAAGCCCAAGCGCAACCCATTGGAACCCATTGAAGCTGCCCGCCCCTGCACCAATTTACATGTTTGACCTTTGGACTAACAAGTTGCAAATTTGTTTTCATTCATTTCCCCCACCGCCCCAGAAAATCAACCCGCGAAAAATAAACAAAAGCGGTCGTTCGGGGGGGGCCCTTCCCGCTCCCTTACCCCAAAAACAACCAAAATTATTTCTCCACTGACACGGGCTGCTGGCTGCTGGGTGCTGGGTG